AGGTTTTGCTTCAAAATGTTTTCGAGATCAGTCAATTTTCCGAGTTTTTTTTTTCATTCATACGAAATTGATTTCTATCAGCTTATTTCTTCTCAATGGCATTTCCTTATTCATGCCTGAATCATGTGAATAACGGCCTTTTATCATCGCGGGAAACAGATTCTAGAGAAATTCAACATTATTTTGTGATGTACTTTGAAATCAAAATGTTCATCACAACCAAATGTTCAACAAATCAAAATTTTCATCAAATAAAAATTTTCATCGAATCAAAATTTCCATCAAATCAAGATTTCCATCAGATCAAAATTTCCATATAATCAAAATGTGCATCAAATAAAAATTTTCATCAATCCAAAATTTTCATCAATCCAAAATTTTCATCAATCCAAACTTTTTATCAATCCAAAATTTTCATCGAATCAAAATTCTCATCAAAGTTTCACCAAAGGGTACGGTTTCCAGAGTATATTTTCCCGCCAGAAATTTGAAATTTCGCCACTTCCGCGTTTATATAGAAGCGCTGAAATGGACGCGGAAAGAAATATAACGAAGAGGTTCCCCAGGATAATCTTTGAATGTTCGTCTTTGTCTCACAAAATGCTGCGCCTGAACTTTCTTGCGCCACATTCTTGGAAGCCATGTTTTTCTAATCTACTGTATCCACTTCCGCCTACGAGGGCTCTGAAATAGACACCGCGCGAAAGAAAAAGTTCCCTCAATAATTCAGTTAACCCATCGCGTCTTTTTCCAGGCCACGAGTCTTCTTATCGCGCGGGTCTCAGACGAGCCCTATTCGTTTTTTTCTCTGTTCGAAACGCAATTTGACATCGTGATTCCGCGTGAATTTTTATTTATCTCGTTATTTTAAAAGTGAAGTGTTGACATTCCACCAGTTTCACGAAAATTATAGGCACATTTACTGTGGCTGGAATGTCAGTTGACCTTTCAATATCCATGTAAGGAATCGACACGGATAAAAACAATTCTTGCGCTCGATCAGGATCAGGAGTGCAGTGCAATACAGTACATCACTGCCGTGCCGTTTTCGATGATGTTAACATCAAACCTCCTTGTTCCATGAAAAAAACATTGGCTTTCAACTGCAACACACTCTTCAATAATTATCAGATATATACCTTCATAATGTTAAGCCCTTCCTAAGAAAAATATGTGTCCCTAAATGAAAAAAAAAATTGATGATGATTTAAAAAAAAGTAGATCGATTTTTAAGTAGATTTAAGATTTATTATAAGATTTATTTATAAATATTTATTTATTTATATAAGATTTTTTTTAGTACATCGAGCATTGTGGATGGCTGCTTTTATTTTACTAATAGTGATATAGAACCAACGATTTATTCTGAAGAATTTGGTGCAAGATGACATGATTCAGGGTTTCGATTCGGAAAATGTATTGCGAGTGAAATAAAACATGTAATTTATGTACTTTGAAGGAAGGACAAAGAAGTGTTTTAGGAACTTCTGTGGCAACTTAAAAAATGAACTACAGTATTTTATCATGATTCAAATCCTCTTTCGCTTTTAACGCACGCATAAATGATTGAGTATGCCTTATTTTCAGAAGCAACAATCACCGAAACATATTTGCATTCCTGCCAAAAATTCAATAAATATTCAGGGTTATGAATCGAGGATTCTTTTAGATGAACAGGTGTGAAAATACTGTACAGTACCTTCAAATAATTTGGATCAGCGTGCTCACAGTGAGATCAAAATCAGCAGATAACTTTGAAATTTCATGAGAAGGCAAGTGAAAATTTCTAAACGACGTTTTCGAAATTGTCCTTTCCCGAAAAATTCTCGAAGAAGCAGCAATCATATCATTGTAAATTTTAAAAGCTCGGCAATTGAGTGACTCGGCATAATTTTTTTTATTCAGTGAGAAGAAATCGCAGCCATATGTATATCCCTTGTACAGTACATTGTTATCTTGAGCGATTTCATTTCCTTCTTGGCGCCCATTTATCTGGATAAAGTCATTTAAAAATTTGCATTCGTTTAATTCAAGTAATCCTAAAATTTCCGCGTTCATTCGACAAAAGTTCCATGCAGTATTCAAGTACTGTATATGCGATTTTAACTATTCAAAGTGATATTATCTCTTCGGTTATTATCCAGCATAATCCGAGGTCTATATAGTAGTTGAAACTTCGGAACCGGAAATTCTGACAACAATATCCCCAGTGAACCTTGCGTTCCTATCTTCCTTTTCGTTTTTTTTTCGAGGAATTTTTGGGGATTATTTTCTCTTTAAAAAGAGAATAGGATGATCTTCTCACATTTTGAAGGAAGTTCGGATAAAAATGAAGCCCCTTCTGTACAGCAGAGTTTCAGGCACATTATATAGGGATTATCCAAAAGTATCGGAACCCAGGGTCATCGACGCCAGTTTTTCCAAAAGGCGTTTGATACCAACTCGAACGTGCTTTTTCCCTCTGCAAACGTGGCGTCTTTTTCGGTTCCCCCTTTTTCCTCTTTTGTTGAACATTTCGCTCAGAAAAAATCTGGTCGTTCGCTCACTTTTTTTTTTCGTCGCCTTCGACGAAATCGGAATCCGTTTCAGACGCGGGGAAAACCCCAGAGGGCACCCATATGGGAATGAAATTACAGTACGGCAAGTGGGAACCCTGAGGTCGAGGGGAGAACAAACGTCCAGCAGTCGGTCGGCAACTGTGAGGGCTCGTCTCATCCGTATCGGGGCGTTGCACCGACTCACTCAAGGTTACTTGCACACGTTTTCCCCGACTGTTGATGCCTTCTGCGACGCATTTTATGTGTTTCCAGCTTCCTGTTCGACTTGCAAGAGTCGAGCGGCTTTTTCGGTAGGGATGAGACTGATGGTATACACACGCAGACGCGCAAGTGAAGTTACTTTTTCAAAGGAACGGGAGTGAGACCCTGCTGGGTTAGTGTTCTGCTCATTGGCAACTCTGGTATCTCAAAGAATAAAAAAAAGAATCATGAATTAGACTTGGAATTTCTGAGAACTAAAGTGAGAAATTTTGGAAAATACAATATACAGTGAGACCCTGAGATGCTTGTGGAGGTATAATCGGTGCTTGGACCTTGTCCTTATTTTGGAATGTCCACATGTTGGATCTCATTTTACAATAGAATTACAAATGTAACTTATTTAGTGGTTCTCCAGCTCAGGGGAAATTATGAATGAATCCCCAAAAATTAAATAAAATGTGTTTCTCAACCTGAAGGTTTAGAGTATATCTGTATGCAGAAAAAAACCGCACAAAAACTCATCTGGCATCAAAAGGACCTCAAAAAGTAGCAAAAGAAAGTAGAAGTCTTTCAATACCCTGTTCACAGATTATGAAGAATACTCCACAGGAAGAGGGACAAAATTAACTTGTTTTGATCAAAAATTTGCGTAAATATATAAAAGATGCATTTTAACTTTTGTGAATCCCTCAATTTCTTCAGGTTGCTATCAAAATTTTGAAAAATTATTCTTCACATTTTTAAAATGTTGAAAAATCGGCCAAATGTTGAGATATTGTCAGGATGTCAGGGGAGATTTTTAAAAGTTCAAAGTGTCCCCAGGTTAAATTGTCTGTACGTCAGGATGTCCATATTTCAGGTACTCACTTTACAGTATTTTGAAGTGTTCCACTGCAGCAAGAATTTTACTTCTCCTTCGAATGTTGGTTTCGAAGTTTTCAACCTGAGCTCAATTGATCCCTTATGCTTATGGCTTCGCTCTTCTTTCCCAGTGGTTTCAATGGTAATTTAAGATTCGACTGTGAAGCAAATTATTGGTTTTCAAGTTGAATACGTTTTAAATAAAACGCCTAAAAATTTAAATTCGCGATCTGTTTCTCATCGTTTGTATAAATGTTTACAGGACCTCCATTTCCTTTGGATGACTTCTAAGAGATTAGGCTGGGAAATGACCAAAATTAACTAACTCCACTCATTATCAAGGGACGGATTTTACGATAGACGTATGTTTCACGTTTACAGCCCAAATTGCTTTCATCGTTCCGGAACCGAAGCATGTGTGAATCTTTTCTTGTTGTTGAGTGCAGTATTTTTCGTTAGAGATTTCTTTTGTTTTGACGCATTATGTCTTATGAGTATGCTGCTAGTTCGAATTGCCTCGAGGGTACACAATGTCATTCGGAATAGCGTATCTACGACGAGCCCTAAAAAGTGATAGCTGCTGTCGCGTGAGATTTACCATATTTCCATGCGCGCTGTGAGCTCGACGCGGCTCGTCATGACGTTCGAATATAGCTCGTCACGCTGAGTCGAAAAAAGGANACACGCATTTTCAACCTTTGGGCAGATCAAACAAGATATATTTACGTGAACATGTTTTCCCCAGGTGCTAACGCATCAAGTACTCAACAGAATGAAAACGAAACCTGATGCATGAATGCGGCTAAAATTCAAACATGTCAAGATTTTATTTCCTTTGTCAATAGGAAAATTCTCCTGAGAAAAATCCACATAATTATGCGTTTTTTTATATTTCTTCCATAGAATTACTGGGATTTTGCCTTTAAATTCTTTATTCCCTTTTTATTGTGAATTTTTCTCTAAACCTGCGTTTAAATCAGGCAAAAGTGACACGACATGTTTGGGAAATATTGTGCTGCATTTTCTTGAATTACTCCAAAATAAAAGGAAAACTTGATCGAGTGCATGCGGCTCAAGTGCTCGTTATTTATATATTTTTTATTTCTATGGCAAGACAAATATTCTGCAGAGAAAAGTTTCCTCGAGCCTGGATTCTTCCAGTAGTATTATCGGGGTACGTAACCAGAACGAAATACTGTATGAAGTAGGACGAAAAATGACATACATTACTGTACCTCAATGTCGTCCACTCGTGACTAATTCGAGTTTATTTTCGTAGATGTCGATAGCAAGCTGCGGAAAAACGCCGCGCAGCTTCCTCAACAGCATTTTTGAGATTACTTACTCAAGCAGTTACGGCCAAATAAACGCGACGAGGCATTTCTTTGCCTCGTTTTTTCCTTGTTCAGATTTGACTTTGCGTGACTAATTTTTCTTCTAAAAATGGTATCTCCAGGTATTCGTTACTCGATGGACGTATGCGCAGACGAAGTCAAGGCCCTGTCGGCGCTCATGACGTTCAAATGCGCTGTAGTCGACGTGCCTTTCGGCGGAGCCAAAGCCGGCATCAAAATCAATCCCCGCGAATATTCCGAGGAAGAATTGGAGAAAATCACGCGTCGATTCACCCTGGAATTGGCCAAGAAGGGATTCATCGGACCGGGCATCGACGTGCCGGCCCCGGACATGGGCACTGGAGAGCGAGAAATGTCTTGGATCGCTGACACGTATGCCAACACAGTCGGACACCTTGACATCAACGCCCACGCGTGTGTCACAGGCAAACCCATCAATCAGGGTGGGATTCACGGCAGAATTTCCGCTACTGGACGAGGCGTGTTCCACGGGCTGGAGAACTTCATTATGGAGGCCTCGTACATGAGCATGATTGGAACGACACCTGGTTGGGGCGAGAAAACATTCATTATTCAGGTTAGAAACGATCTTCGCCTTTTCTCATCCCAGCGTCAATTTTCCAAAGGCATCAGAAGCGGAGGACATTCGAGTGTGTCTTCATTTTATAAGCATCACAAGGATTGCAGAACTTGATCCATATATGTACAATACTGTTTATGCACACAGTTGAACCGCCATAACTCAAACCGCCCTAAATCAGATACCTTCCTGATTCAATTTTTTCAAGTCTGGTCTGACTTCCCTTGGAAACAAAGCATCAAAAACGTCCCTAACTCAAAGGCTTTTCTTCTCAAACCTCAATAAGAGAAATTTTCAGTAGCCTTTTGACTGTTATTTTCTTTATACAAAGAGGACAAAAGCATCAAAAATGGAATTTGTAGCATTTCAAAAGTAATTGAAGGACTAAATTGGGCAAATGAACCCCTCCCTACAAATTCAGGATCCATTCAACTCATGTAAAAAGTAATTTAAGGCCCAGAATTCTAACAACTTTGTGGAATTCTTCAATGTTTCCCATGACAAAGATTCTTGGCTCCATAACTCAAAACCTACTTAAGTCAAAATGTTTTGTTGGTCCCTTGAAATTTGACTTCAAGAGGTTCAACTGTGGTAAAATATAATTACAACAAACATTTTGGGACTACAGAAAAATTTTGTTGTACTGAGTAATTTGTCTGAGAGAGATTCTTAACATTAATGGATGGAACACATTTTCACATCAGACCTGCTTTAAATTGTTGAGATATTGTTTTTCAGGCATTCTCTGAGTTCTTCATTGTCTTTGGAGTACTGTAGTTATCTTTTGAAAAAGTAGCTTCAATTATGCATTTCCATCAGTTTCACCAATCTCATCAGTATATTCTGGGAGGATCATCCATAAATAAATACTGTAAGGAGGATCTCTTTATTCTGAGGCAATGGTGTGTGGAACCAGTTGGCAGCATGTTTTTCATTGATTATAAAGCTTCTATCCATACTACAAGAGCCAGCAAATTAAATTTGGGATCAGAAATTTTGGGCTGTGCCTGCTTCCACCTAGAGGATCCATTGAACATTCCTAAAAGAATTTGTTCTACTGGAATGGGGAAGTTTTTATAACATTATTGCTGTAACTTTCTGCCAGGACTTGCAAAAAGGAAGTTAAACTAAAAATTGCGTTGTAAGATTTCACTATATTTAAGAAGCAGCCCTTGTGAATCCTATTATATATAAAATTGGTCATCCCCGGGTATTCAATAACTCCATTTCTGCCTATGCTTCAACGCTTTTATTATTGTTTTCCTCGCAGGGATTCGGTAATGTAGGCTTGCACACCATGCGGTATCTGCACAGAGCGGGCGCCACATGTATTGGAATAGTGGAGCATGACGGTGCCATTTTTAATCCTCACGGAATCGATCCTAAAGAGCTGGAGAACTACCACATAGAGAACAAGACCATCGTGGGCTTCCCTGCTGCTCAGGCGTACGAAGGTGGTCAGGATCTCATTTTTGAAAAGTGCGACATCTTTGTGCCGGCTGCTATTGAACAAGTCATCACCAAGGACAACGCACATAGGTTGCAGTGCAAGGTACGGATTAGCCATTTAATCTATTCATGAAAGGAGCATTTATATAGTTGAAACTGGAAAAGTCAAATACCTCCCAATGTAGAATTAATTTCAAGTCCCTGACTGAATTGCCTTAGAAAGAATTTGTTTAAAACCCCCTAAACTTGAGAGCTTTCTCCCTATAGATCAAACCTCCATAACTCAAAATTTTGGGAGGCTTTTTTGCTATTATATTTGACTGACACATGAAAGAGATAAGTGATAAACGTGTAACTTGATGCATGTTAAAACAAATGTGAAAGACTAATTGGGCAAATATTGACCCTTGCCTTCAACTCCAGAATCCATTCGACTCATGAAGAAGCAATTTAAGGCTCAGAATATCCCCCATTGCAAATCCCTGCAATGCTTCTTTATTTTCCCCCAACAGAATTGATTGTTTTCCTTACTAGAATTCTTTTGCTTGTCCATTGAAGTTTGACTTTAAAATGTTCGAAGGCATTTCCAAATGCAGATTTGTGAATGATACAGCAGTGGACTGCTTCAGCATTTTTTGTTGAAATGTCACTGATTCATTATGATTATTATCTAAATGTTAAGGAGAGGAAATCTTGACACAATTTTATGTTTTCTAAACACCGTTGAACTTCATGGTCACCACCTATCGTATTTCGCTTGAGAACGTATCTTAATTTGACACGATGAACTGCTGTTTGTATATTTAGATCATTGCCGAAGCTGCCAACGGTCCGACGACTCCAGCAGCGGACAAAATTTTGTTGGAAAAGAATATTCTCGTCATTCCGGACATGTATGTGAATGCTGGTGGTGTGACAGTCTCGTACTTTGAATGGCTGAAGAATCTGAATCACGTTTCATACGGGAGACTGACTTTCAAGTATGAGAGAGAATCAAACTACCACTTGCTGGGTA